CTATCAGCTCTAAATTTAAATTTTCGACTTTGATCTCCGATATATTGGCTTTAAAATCAACTCTCTTAAATTTCGTCTGAACATTCTTGCTTCGCTCGCTGCGTTCGCTGGTCCTACAAAATCGTACACAAAAAATGAATCATTTGGATCTTTAAACATCATGGTTTGTCGAGTTTGAAAAGAATACGTCGAAATTGGGACCTGAAAATTAACATTTTCTTTTCTAAAATATCGAGTTAATTATGAAAACATCGTTCTTGAACTGGATGGTCTTACTTGAAACCCGAAACACTTCTACTCAAACAAGTCTAAAATGTAGGCCAAACGTGTAAATGTCTGCCATAAACCCACAACGTTAAGATGAAACTTGAAAGTATCAATATCCAGTTTGAAATTTTGGGTCCGAAGTATTTTGAAATGTTTTTTCCAACAATCAACAATCTCATGCATTTTAAGAACTAAGGGAAATTGCCCAGTCGAATTAGAAATTTGAAACAGAAGCTCAATTTTTTTTCATTGTGGTTCAAGTTACAAATGAAAACTCAATATTTCGCTTTCAGTTTCGAAATATTTAAGCTAAAGTCCAAATTAGGGCACCTTTAACAGGCAACATCTCAATTGAACTCTAAACCTCTCAAGGACCTCTTCTTGTGTAATATGTTGTCGGAACGTCTTATTTATGAAAAGCGCGAATTGAAATAAAAAAATAAATGGACTCGAAACACTCAAAAGCTGGTTAAAAAAATGCGCATTTCTACAACTGTTCTGCTAGAGCAAGCAAGAAAATTGAGGATTGAGGTTTTACATTTTGAACGATTGCAAGTTGAAATGGAAGAATTGAACTACAATCACGAAATGTTAACAATTGAGCAGAAAATCCCTACTTTAAACGGAAAATTGCGATGTTAAAACTCAAAATTTCCACTCGGAATTTCGTTTGCACTTTGCATCGAAGTTAAATCTTAAGAAGTCCTGAACTTTTGGAATGTCGCGAACTACAATTTCCAGTTAATTTACAAGTTTCCGACTTAAAGGTGACTATCACCACTTTCATTTTGTTTAATACTAGTTTGATTTCGAAATTGCTTCTTCTAAAAATTAAACTAAAAACTAGTGGAATTTTAAAAAATTACTCAAAATTTGGTTGAAACTGTTCAAATTGTACTTAAAACTTTGATTTTATCGGAAAACTTTATAATATAAACCCCCATATGTTGCTTAAATCTTTATTTCTTCAAGCCGAACGCGATAAACGTTTGAAATTTTAAACTGAATTTTTAAACTGAAATTTTAACATTACGAGCGTAATCCCAACAAAAAAATTTACTTTTCCTGAATTTGTTATGTTCAAGCTGAAGTCACATGTATCCGATTTCCGATGGCCTGACGATACCACCGGGGTTCTTTTTTGAAGTTTTGAAAAATTTGAAAACCGTTTAGAACGATTAACCATTAATTTTGAGAGCGATATTTGCTAAGCAGAAAAAAATCGGGATTTTGGTAGACTTTGATGAAACTTGCAGGGTCTTTAGAGTGGTGGATCGCCTTAAGGTCCTGAAAATTTCAAAATCCTGTTTGCTGTTGTTCGGAAGGTGAGAATTTTTAAAGGCGAGGACGCAGTGGATTAGAAAAATTTGATATGAGACGACCTGTTAATTCTGCATCCCAGCTGGCCAAAATCAGGAGTTTTGACTATTTTAAAGAAACTTTCAGAATATTTAAAGTCAAGTGTATTTTAAAGATGGCGAGAATTCCGATATGCTACTAGCTTTAGATTGCAAAATGCGAATTAACAAAAAACAACGTGATGGTCTAATTTTCCAATTTTGCAACCCATATTTACCGAGCTGAAAAAAATCAGATTCTAGGGCTATATTTATGAAGCTTTCAGGTTCTTTACAGTTTAAAGTGTCTTCTAAAGATGGTGAAAAATGCAAATTGCTACTTGCTTTAGTATGCAAAATGCGAATTTTTAAAAGAGAAAGCGCAGTGGAGTATATACATTAGTTATAGGCGGAGATTTACTGATTTTGTAACTCATATTTGCCAGGCTGGCAAAAAAAACAGAATTTTGGCTAAATCTAAAAAAACTTTCTGGATGTTTAGAATTAAGAATCTTCTAACGATGAAGAAAATTTCAATTTCTCACTTGCCTTAGGTTGGAAGGTGAAAAATTTTAGAGTGGAAAATACACAGTGGGGTAAAAGGATTTGCTAACGAACGAATTTTTACTAATTTTGCGCCCCATATTTAACTGCTGGCAAAATTCAGCATTTTGCGCTCCCTGTTCGAAACTTTCAGCATCTCTAGAGTTGTCTCATGAAGAGAGTGTTGTCTCATGAATGCTTGTATTAGTTTAAAAATGGCAGGCTATTTAAATATTTTTATCTTATGAGAAAATTGAAAATTATTTTAAATTCTTCGGGAAACAGTAAAAAAAATAAATTTTTCCGAAAACAGAAAAAAGTACAGGAATATTTGTTATGTGATTAATATGATTTAGTAATATATTCGATTTTATATCTGATTTAAAGTAAAGCGTTGAGCGGGTTTATTTTACATCCAGAAAGCCTACGATGAAATAGCAAGCAACAATTATAATAATTCAATATCTAACGTCGCATTGTCGGATCATCGAAAATCGCTGCATGGGACTGCAGTTTAACTATTTGCTACTTAGGTGTGCAACTTTCGTCATAGAAATTTCTATAATATCAAAATTATGGGAAAAATGTGAACATTTTGAATTTGAAATCTTCACTTTAAAACTTTCTTAATGCATGTTTCTTTGTTAGAAATGTTGACATTCAAATTCATGATTTCACTGTTTCGTCGTCATTATGTGCTTTAAATCGAAAAACACAATTTACACTCGATTTATGTGTCAAAAACAAAAAAAATACGAAAATGTTGATTTTCTGAGCTAAAATTGTCTACTTCAGCCTAAAATTTCGGTACGTATTTCGACTGCAACCTTGCACTTTCAGCTTAAACTTAAGTTAAAATTTGCAAAAGAAAAACAGAGAGTTGATAAATGTTGTTCATGTACGCTTGAAATGACACTACCAGTTGAAACCCGAAAGGTTTTGAGATCTAAGTTGAGACTTCAAGTTCATCTTCTTGGCTTCACATTTCCGCTTCAACTCCAGAATATGTATCCACTATATATTTGAATAATCGCTCTCAAACTCCACATAGTTGCTTAAATCTGGGATGAAAACTCGAACATTCCACCTCAAACTCAACCCAAAGCAAAGCGTCTGCTTGCGATTTGTTAAACGTTCTAATTGTCTGCATAATCGGTCCATAATTTAAATAATCGACATGAATTAAGGTCAATTTTTCAAAAACTTAGTCTTCTGCTGTTTAAAACTCTATTAACAGCACGACATTTTACATCAATGGGCTTCAAGTTTATTCCTTCCTAGTTAGCAAACCGCCATCTGTAAAATTCATCACTAATTTGTTTTTTGTATCCATTCCAGATAGGAGACCGACTGTTTGTGGGAGCCCCCGGAAGCTACTACTGGCAAGGTAAAAATCCTCTGACTCGACTGCGATTTGATTTGTTTGCAGGCAATTTTTTTGACGCTTTGTTTTGATCCACCGTTTCCAGGCTTTAGTAGTGTGGCCCTCCTGATGATGAACCCCATCCAAACTGTGTTTTTACTTTATGTTTCAGGGCAAATGTACTCTATCGATGCCAACTCCAGATTTAACTATACACCGGGCCTGCTAGGCACGACGTACGGCGCCAAAGGTATTTCTTAGCTAGCGTCGGACATACATACCATTTTCTAATATGCGCCGCCCAATCACTACTTATTCATTTCTTTGGATGTGGTTTAGTGAGTCGTGGTTTTCTAAAGGACTGTAATCTAGACACTTGAATTCATCCAGATTGTTGGAAAAATCGCCTTCGTCTAGTTGCTTGCTGTTTACTTTTTCTCTGTTCTGTTACTCCCACTGCACACAAATTTGACCATGCACCACGTCTTGTTAAGCCACCCCAGACTAATAAAATAAAAACCAACGACGCAGCATCTTCAACTTATTACCATGTTATACCATTTGGTGTAGGAGTGTTAACTTCCAGGGTGCAGTGTTCTACTAATGGTCATTCTTAATCCAGTACTAAATTTGTTTAGGCTTTCAATAAACATACTAAATTTGATTAATATTTGATTTCAACATGTGCTTTAACATCATGATGTTTTTGCTCCAATCACAAGGGAGCACTTGCTGCTCAACTAGCGGTTAAGGCTAATTAGACAGAATCATCCATTTCTGGGAGATTTCAGTTATTAAATCGATGACCCAGAATTTTGCAGAAAACCATTTATTAACAGATGGTCGATATTACGTGTTGTTTGCCTGCCTACGCAATCGCGTCCACAGTGACCACACACTTTTAATTGTTTCAATGGTTCGCTACTTAAAAGGCGAAATAAAGCCGTACACATTGCCGTTTTTATTAGCTAAAGGTCACCATATTGAGAGTAAGTGTACCCAGTCACAAAAAGCGTTTCACATTTTTAACATTGTCAAAGGCCGGTCGCAAGTCGCTCAAGTGGCACCTACTGGATCTTAGCGTTTGCCTCATATGAAAAATCCGCAAAATCCCTGATCATCCATTAACCATACGTGTGGCAGCCAGTATTTTTAGACACAATTGTTTCTGTTTTACATAAACGAAGCCTAACGAGCGAAATCATCAATTCTCGTTGGCAAAAAGCGGATATTAATCAAGAGCATATTGATAAATGTGCTCAATAAGATTCGTTTATTAAAAATAGCACGTTACAACTATTCGGTATGAGAAACGTTGAGTAATTTTAACAGGAATTCCTGCAGATGGTGTATAATTACAGTTTTTCGACGTTTCCCCGAATTAATATAGTCAATTCATTTTTTACAAACTTCTTTTTGGGTATTTCGCCTCAAAAATTCCAATTAGTAGAGAAATTAATTTGAAAAATTACCTTGACGTTTCGATAGGTATTTTCTGCTATCGTTATCAAAAGAACCTAAATGAACCTAAAAAAGAGTATGTTAATAAATTGTGTAACAATAGTAGGATAATACAATATATGAAAATTCACTCTGATAATTCGTCTGTGCAAATTGTCAGTTATGTGACTTTGACTTAATCTCATTGTTTAAATTAATAAAGGTAATGTTAATTAATAATTTTGGTGTAAATTTAATTTGGGTGTATGTTTCTCTGGTCTACTTCAGATTTTAGCATAGGTAACCATGTATGACTTAAATTAAATGAACATGGAGCAACACAATTATTTTGATTTAGTAAAATTAGTGCGCTTTCTTTA